GGACGCCGCTGCCGCGAGCCCGAGTGCAACACGCTCGCTCGCTTGGGTGGTTTATGCCGCCGCCATGCCGATGGTCCTATGGAAATCGACGACGAGCCGATCTGGCGCGATATCTCTGTCGGCATGGACTATGTTCCGACCTTTGAGGACGTGGACCAATCGATCTTGGACTGCATCTTGGCGACGACAGAGCCCATGATGACGGCCATGCTGTATTAGAGCGTCGCGCGCGACTCTTATTTAATACTATTTAATGAACGACCTGTACGTTCCAGACTTCCTTTATAGTATGCTTGACCCTCGCGCGATGGATCTTGCAAATTGTCTGGGAGACACGGTCTCCCTCGCCTCATACAATCCTAGGTCTAGGCAATTGACAGACCTCATCTCTACTCTGAACACGAGCTTCCGTGTTCGTGCTTTCAAAAGATAAAAAGGTCCAGAACAAGGCAAAGCGAATGGATTCGATTTGGAAGTCATTTGCAGCAGTAATAATAAATGTAGGATTGCATTCGAGTTGGTGTCGCCACAACGTGCGGATCCAGTCCGTAACGTACTTAAATGTGACTAGCACGACATACAAATGCCATGATAAAAATATCACAAGCGCACCTAAAGGAGTTACTGAATTCTGCCGTCGGATAAGTGCATTGATGTTGATCTCATTACCAAAGATATATGGGTACCAGGTCCGAGACCCATTCGGACCCGGACCTGAATATCTCCGGATAATATACCACCAGGTCCGACAATATCGCCGGATATCATCCCACCAGGTCCAAAGATATGTGATTGGCTAAAAATAATCCTGTGTGCGAATGAATTGGCTCGTTTGATGGAATTGTTTTGGCCTTGTGTTGGCATCTATTCTTCGCAATTCTGAAGCGGCGCCGAACTATGCTGAAACCACACAAGGCGGCCACCCGCGGCCAGCCTCAACTCCGCGGCGCCAGAGCGCCCGCCTACTACCAGACCGATTAATGCGACCAATAAGCGCCAGCCCGCCGCCGCCACGGGCCACTCGACCGGCCCCGCCAAGAAGCTCAAGACTGCCGCCACCGCCACGACGCGCTCGCCCGTCACTGCCAAGAAGTGCCAGCCCGCGGCCTCCATGACGCTTCTGCACGCTGCCTCGACGATCCTATGTACCGCGGCTAGGCAGCTCGAGATGCAAGAGGCCATAGCGTGCACGTAAGAGGGCGGCCGAGACTCGGCCCAAGGCGACGAAGATTGCGTATTGTGCCAAGGCACACGAGTTCCAGAAATGGGTGTCCCCCCGAGACCCCACCGATCCCGGTGGTACCGTGTGCGGGAAAGCCCTCCACATTTTCATCGAGACGCAAGTCGTCGGGCGCAAGTCGCGTGCCAAGGGCGACGTGGAAGACACAATCGGCATCTCCATGATCAGGCAGTACATGAACGCCACTGTCAGCTTGTGGGTGCGGCAATGTCATCTGGGCAGGAGCTCGAATCCTCATCCACGTACGGAAGTCGTCGTGCACTGCTCAATCAAGTCAAGGCCGCCGAGGACGAGCACAAGCGCGAAAGCTACGAAGACCGTGGCGCTAGCACGCTCTTTGATGGCTACACATCTATTGAGCAGTTTTACAGCAATTGGAGCGTACTTTTGGACCGATGGTGTTAGACTTCGCGATTGGGTTGGCGTCGCACTCTCACACTACTACCTACTCTGCGGCGAGACGGTTCGAGATGGACAATGCCGCACCAGGTGCATCGCCGCGGCCTGCGTCGACGTGCCCTCTTCAAGGTGCGACCTCTGATCCGACCTCTGATCCGTCGACTCCTCCACCAACTACCACGGACACTTTAACAACCTCATCGGTCCCTACGAGGACGCTCGTTGGCAAGCCCATCAAGACTCTGCACAAGATGACTCGTGTGCTCACGCTCCCGGACCATTGGCGCGAATGGTTTTACGGCTCCAATGGTGGCATGCCTGTCGTCGCCATCCAGCAGTCACCAAATGCCACGTGGCACGATGAAAGCGAGCGGCGCTTTTCCAGCAGGCGCATTCGCTACATGCGATCATTGCCTTGTCCGTCAACATATCCGACGAAGAAGCCGTGAAGCGGCTCGAGGAACGGCGGCTCAAGCTGGGAAAGAGTTTGGACTGCATCGCAAAGAACACGGCCGATTTTCTCGTTAGCTTAGCCATTAAAACCATTAATGAATGCTTCGCAATGTGGCACAAGAGCGAGCATCAAAGTAAATGGCGGCATCGATGGCGGCGTCGATGGAAATCCTGAGTCAAATGCTGTGTCAACTGCTGTTTTAAATACTGTTTCGGGTCTGATGTCGTGAATCCTGTTGGAGATGCACCCACATTGGGTAATACCCTCGGGTCCGTCATGACTTGAAGTTTGTATGGGTCCGGGTCCCAGACCTATATAAATAGAAGGGATGATATCACTTAGGTACACTGTAACGAACATGCGCGAGTCCCATGTTCCAAATCAAGCAAATACCGGTATGCTCTCGCTCGCAAACCGCGCAGAGCAGCCTAGCGAATCTGCGAGTTTTATAGGTTTTAAGATATTCCCACGATCGTCGCCCTCATAGGTAGGAGTCGACCGTCGAAGCTGCTCTCACTAATGGTCATGATGGCGGACGCAATCAACGTCGATAATCTACGCTACACGTATGATCAGCTTCATCGCGTACACTGCAGCAAGATAATAAGGCTTAGGTTCATCCGAGTGGAGGAAACCACTCGACCGAACGTGCAGCCAAGAGTCCAGATCTTCTTGTCGGCTCTCGAGCGTCCGAAGGAGCTCTCTTGACACAAATCGGCGTGAAAACATGTCTGGTCGGGCCTACGCCTCCCGCCCTGTCGACGCTAATTGACACCGCTAGTTACATCTTGCGAGTAGACATGGTCATTGCTTGCCTTTGTTTTGCCGCGACCCCGCGTACGAACGCAACGCAAAGTGCAATTTGGCAGGGCACAACTAAATGGCGGCCGTCCGAACTCGCTGAATTCCGCGCGTTTTCCGGATTTTCCGTCGCGTTGATCAGGTCCAAGAGTGGGACGAGCCAGTTCGGGATGACAGGTCGAGCGCCACAGTGGGCCGTTATTCATCTTCAAGGTTTGTCGCCAATTATTTCAAGTCCACGTGCGCCAAGCAGTGTACTGGTCCATGTATGGGGGGCCACCGAAACTTCAGAGCCCATCACTCATGCGCGCCATCGTGCGCTGAATGGTCGGTCTCATGTATCGATATTGTCCAAAATGGGATCACCTTGCGGTAGACGATCATCGAGTCATTCTTCATTTCATCGTCTTTCCTCCGCATCAGTATGGACGCGCAGTGTTGCTTTCGTGGCTGCTCCAAGCCAGCCATGCCGCAGTCCAACAAATGCGCCTTTCATCGCAACCGCCTCTGCTGCGCCGTGAGTACGTGCAACAACCAAGTGTACGCTCGTGGTCTCTGCGTTCGCCATGGCGGTACCAAGCCGTGCCTCACCACGGGATGCGACGCGAACGCCCGCACCGGCGGCTACTGCTCGCGCCACTCGCTTGTTAATACGAAAAAACAGTGTGTCGAGGCAGGATGTGCCAACATTGCGCACTCACGCAAGAAGTGCGTCCGTCACGGCGGCGGGCGCAAGTGCAAACTCGCCGAGTGCGAAACGCTCGCGCGCATCGCTGGCTACTGCCAACGGCACTCCAAACAGCTGCTCAAGGATGCCGTCACGACCAACGAGGTCGTCCCCGATGCTTGGATCGAGGACGCCATGCCCATGGACACGCTGGACGACCTCATTCTCGACTTTGTCTTGATCAGCACGACCACCGGACTTGTTGCTTCGGGCGATAGTTTATACAAGGACATCGCCTAAAGCGCAGTGCCCTTTCTATGTTTATAAGTTATACATGGCTATTAAATGCAATTCATAATGCGGTATGCTTGTCGCGGAACCGATGAGCAGCCACGCTTGCTCGCTTGTCGGTCGTACGTTCAGGCTACTAGTATTGCATTCGTACAGTACACTACATGTAGTAGGTCGATGGATGTCCTCGACTAAAATAGAACTTGCGCAGTCGAGAAAACGAGGGTCCAAGTGTGCCTATATTTCTTGCCTTCAACGCCAGTCTCTATGATTCGATACAAATATCGTACATTCTCACAAATGTTGGATTTATTTGCGCTGGCGGTTCTTGCCATATGACGCTGCTTTCCCACCTTCCTTGCTCGCTTTACGCGGTGCTAAGAAGCTCATGTTTGTGTCTCGTCTGCGTCGAGCCGTTTTTAGTGTGAGGCTGCTTCGTCTTTTATTTTCTCAGAGCTTATGGAAGCTTTCTTGGACTGTTTTGCTTCCAGTGAGTTGATCGATATTTGTTGTAGAGTGCTGAATGCAATCACCATTTTGAGAAAGATCGGCTCGTATATTGCATTGTGAACTCGCACTGGACTCGAATACCGGTAACCCCATTGCGATAGTTCATGTTTTCCTCGTTCCGGTGGATATTCACCCACTGCGAGTTTGGTTGCGAGCTCACAGCAGGGGTACCTCAACAAATAGATTTGGCAGCTTGTCGCACCACCACTAAAAACAGGCAAGGCATTTGCAGCGCAATACTTGAGGTCACAGTCAGTGCTTCTCAAGAGTACATCTTTGTGCTTCTGCACCAAAATTTCAAGGGGAATCGACTGGCGCAGCTCTTATCGGCGGAAACGTCGTATTTCCTGTGCAAATTAGGCGTCAAATCGTCGTCAGGGTAGGGCTATTCGACGACAGCTCACCAATCAGCGATCTATTGTCCGCCTCCAACGTTCGTAAGCTCTTCCTGCCATTGCCTCTTGCATTTTATCACCGTTTCAAAGTAACCAATCAAATCGCTTCATCGTGATCAATCAAAAGTGCCGAAAACTCTAGACCCTATTTTCTCCATAACATTACCGGTACCGGTAGCTGGTACCGGTACGTTAGCAGGCCGATAGCATTCAGCTGCATCATCATAGGTGTATCGTGCTCGATTAAAAATCGTACACCTCCATTTCACAAGCACCATACAGCGGCGTCGTCGGCTCAATGCGCGGTGAGTCGATCAGAAGGCACTGCAGGATCATGTTGTCAAGCTCCTGCACGTCACCGCTGGCCGTCACATCGCCTTTGATCGGACTTGCGCGCAGCGACACTTTGGACGGATTGTGGCGCCGGCAAAAGCCACCCGTGCGTGCCAAGCTTGCGCACTGCGCTTCTCGGCAACGCCGCGCGCCGCCGTGTCGGACGCACTTGGACCGCGAGTGGGCGAGGTTGCGGCAGTGGGGCTCCGAGCACGTGCGCTTGGCGGTAGGAAGCGCGTGTCGCGAGCAGTAGCCGTCGATGCGGGCGTTCGAACTGCAGTCATCGTGGGCACACTGCAGCTTGCCGCCGTGGCGCACGCAGAGCTGGCGCGCGTAGACAATGTTGTTACAGCCGTCAATGTGGCACACGACGCGTTGGCGATGAAACTCACACTTGCCGAGAACCGGCAAGGCGCGCTGGGTGCAGCCGTTAAAGAGGCAGCTCGTGCACGACGGTGCGCGCATGTTGTGCGAAATGGAAAATGACGTAAGGTGCCAGCCTTTTGTGCGCGATTGTGCCAGCCCACTTGGCTCGCCAGATCATCTCGGGTGGTGCAAGCGGATTGGATTTGTAGAGATACTACTCGGGAACAACTCATATGGAACGCCGTGTCGTGCAGGTTCGTCGTCGTTCGAATGCAGCATTGGGGAAGCGCTAATGTAGTAGATTCGAAGTAACGGGGTTCGCGGGTGCCGCGTCGTCCCGAGGTGCTCGCTTGCGTTCGACCTTGTATGTCGCTTGATCGCGAGGACCGCGGTCTTGAGTCGACATACCAGTACACTGTACAGCGCAGGGGATGACTATCAGATTCCACAGGCCAAGTGGGATTGCGGTCCAGTTCAAACTGCCGTCCATACCTATTAGACCACCTTGATTGGTGCGCCCATAACCATGGCCACATAGACCGCTGCCAAGTCCATGGACGATTGCCGTCAAGGCGGCACGCGTCGCTCAACTGCACTTGCACCACAGCCTCGTACAAGAGCCCGAGCAGCCTGCTCTTCGTCGGCTTCTCCGGCTCCTCGCCCAACACGAGTGGCCGCGACGTCACCTAGTCCCGCGGATTGCGCTCCTGCCTCCGCCTGCCTAAACCAAGTCCCTCAACGGAGTACACACAACGAAGAAAGTCCGACAATTTTATTTAGCATAGTTTTTTCTATTGTAATAGAGGACCCAATTCAACAACCATGGCCACATAGCCTTGGCGGCTGCATTACTTGTCATAGAGAATCCAAGATCGGTCCGTTTGGTTGTTAAAGCCAACAACTCGATACACGTATATTAGTAATCATGCCAAGATCCATTTACGCCTAAAAAGATCGTCCGACCCAGCCTTACTTTGATTTTAAATGCCTCGTCAAGTTGGGTCTACTAGTATGCGCCAGCAACCATAATAATTGCGCGAACTTGTCTTAGCAAGCGAGAACGATAGAATCACGTGGCCATAAAAATATAAGTTAAACAGAACGAAGTCCTCACAACGCGTACCATTCGACATCGATGGTGGAAGGCGACGACGACGACGTGTCTGCAGCACACGTCTTGATCAGGCAATCCAGAATGGCATCGTCGAGCGGCTCGATCGCGTCGATCCAATCCAATGCCAAGTCGAGTACATCGGCACAAGCGACTCCTTCGCGATGCCGCACACAGCAGCCGCCCTTGCGCGCCAGTGTCTTGCATCCGTCGACGCGGCAGCGACGACCGCCGCCATGGCGGACGCACAAGCCCCTGGCGTGCGCGGCGTTCGTGCAGAGGGGCTGCGTGCAAAGACGCTTGCTGCGGACTTCGGTGTGGCGGTAGCAAAAGCCACCAGGCCGCGCGTTCGCATCGCAGTCGTCATGGGCACACTTGGGTTTGCCGCCGTGGCGCACGCAGAGCTGGCGGGCGTACACAATGTTGTTGCAGCGCGCGACGGAGCACGGAAGGCGATGGCGGTGGAAATTGCACTTGGCCAAGGCGTCGATCGCCGGGTTACTACACCCATTGAAACGGCAGATCTCTGGGGAGGACGGAGTCGTTTGCATATCTCGAAGCGAAAATTGAAATGAGCTACAGAGTCCGTTCACCAAGTCGCAAGCAAGTCAATCGCGCGGATGAATTGCAGGAAACAACTCAACGACGTTCTGCAACTCGTGTAGTTGTCACCATGTGGTAGTGTATCCGGATCCGGGTAAAATGACCAAATGTCACGACAGCCGATGCGCATCAGTCGTCGGTAGAGCTGTCGTCGTCGGCGATCGATCGAAGCGGCCACAGCCAAGAACAATTGTCTGTGGAATGACCAGATAAATTTTACACGCAATTCTGTACTCATGGCTGACATGCGATAGGCAGGTGTGACTTCGGCCTCATCATGGACCTGCAACAAAAATGCTCCAGGCGGGTTCCCAACAACTCGCATTTCTAGGTGCAACGTTTCCCGGAAGGGAAAGGCTCTGGTTCGCTCTATTTATCCAATCGTGCGGACCAACGTTCATGTTATCCACGTGCTGCACACGCACCAGAAGCGCAACGCACGTGTCATGTCGACCACGTTCGTATTGGTTGACGATGCTCTTCCAGTTCTAGTATGCTCAAAGTGTACTACCTATAGTTGTCGTCTTAGCAATGACGGACCCTTCTATCGCAGATGCAAGACATGGCGGGTTTTGTTGTAATAGTCTTACCGGTACCGGTAGTACCGCTTGGACACCCTTCTGCGCAGGTAGCATTTGCTCTAATTAGTTAATTTGACACGATGCGAATAAGCGAGTAAAAGCGTAGAGGCGCATATTGGCATGAAATAGAGTGCGTACTGCCGTGGGCTTGTCAAACTCGCGGCGATCTGGTACGGATGAGCCCATTTTCATCGGTCCGCAAGTCCACGAACAACAAAACGACCATCACTCGTGTCATCCGGATATGGGTCATCAAACCGTGAAATTCACTCCGTTGACGAGTTGTTCCTGCTTTATTTGCTGTCGTCAGCGTAGATATCGAAATAGGCAAAACGACAACATCAAGTCACGGCGTGGTCTACACGTTGTCGCGTGATGCAGAAGGAAAGATACTTGTGAGCTCATTGTGAAAAACCCTTTGTCTCGGGCAGACCAATAAGCAACGACGATGGACGTGACGACGAACTGTTGCTTCAACGGTTGCACGAACCTTGCGATGCCCGATTGCACCAAATGCACATTTCATCGAAGTCGAGTGTGCTGCTCGTTTGAAAACTGCTTCAACCAAGTGTACGCGCGCGGCCTCTGCGTCCGCCACGGCGGCAAGAAGCAATGCCTTGCCGACAACTGCGAGACAAACGCGCGCACCGGTGGCTACTGCTCGCGCCACGCGATCGTCGGGCTCAAGAAGCAGTGCATCGAAGAAGGATGCGTCAACTTGGCGCACGCCAACCAGCGCTGTGTTCGCCACGGCGGTGGCCGCAAGTGCAAGTTTGCCGGTTGCACGTCCCTCGCACGCATTGCGGGCTACTGCCAGCGCCACTCCAAGCAGATTCTCAACGATGCGCCGGCGATCGATCCCGACCTCCTCGTCCTATTGCAAGCCGAAGACTGGTTTGACTCGGACAGCTCGAGTAATACGTCGTCACTGGAAGCCTTGGACCACGCAATTTTGGATTGCGTCCTTCAAAACACCACAGATGGCAGCAGCAGCATGTCGTGGGGACGTGACGAGAGCCTTGTTTGCTCTCAATGATCCTACATTCCAGTCGCAACTTAACCTTACAAATAATTTAGCCGTTCATTATTAGTGTGTGACTTCGTCTACCACGACCGGCCGACAAAGAGTACGGAGATCGGACCAATGGATAGGGACCTTTCGATGATGGAAAACGTTGTTGTTGAGTCTATTTAGATATACTAAACTGAACTGGATATGGTGGTGGACTATCGATTCCAAGGTGCTACGACGAGCCGGCCGCCGAGAGGCTTAGCCGAGCGGGAGACGTGGCGTGTGAATGACACATGCCGGAACAAAGTTGTTGCGTAGCCATGCGTCGTGCCGCAGGGCTGCCATCATTTGGAAGATGCACAATGCTTGAGTGTTCAGCAGCAAGTGGTGGAGGTGCAGCTTGGTCAAGAACGCGGCTCGTTGGGCGGCTGCCTCAGGCGTCACAAGGGGCGCCTCGGGGCGAAAGACTCGGTCGTTGCGGGTAAGCCAGACGGTGTGGAGCACGCACGCGCGGAGGATCGGCCACATCATGGCCACTGCACGCCGACGGTAGCGTTGGGCTGTCACCAGCGGTTCGAAGAGGAGCGCGGAAAGCGTCGTGGGAAGTTCGAGCTCGAGGGCGTCGACGGGCGGCTTTCTAGACCGCCCATACGGCAGTGACAAATTCGCAACGAAGCAGAAGATGGTTGTACGTCTCGAGGTCGCCGCAGACGGGACAGACTTGGGCGTCATTGGCCAGAAAGTAGAGCCGGGAGCCGATCGCGACGGCGCCAAGCACCACACGGTACATAAAGTCGGCGTATCTCGGCAGGATGTGCTCGGGTTGGCGGTACTCGACTGCTGCATTTACCATGGCCGGCGTGGCATAGTGGTCGTCGGGGAGCTGCAGATATCTCGTAGGAAGGAGGCACTGGGCCGCGACGTCGTGTCGGCGTCGACAAGCGTGGCGATTCGTTGCCGTTCCCAGCGGCATCACCGTGCCGGCAAAGCACACGCGCCACGCTGGCGGCCCCGGCGAGGCGGCGTATGGGCTCGGTAACGTTATTCTTGTGCTCGTTTGAGTACATGAAGGTCGTGACAGCACACGCACGACTATCTTTGTGTCATGGCGCCTTTGCTAGGAACCGAGTTTCTGAGGCTCCAGACTGTCGGCGGTCATTCCAAAAAACGTTGTTGTTGTTGAAGTGGGTCTTCTATTACAATAGAAAAAACTATGCTAAATAAAATTGTCGGACTTTCTTCGTTGTGTGTACTCGGTTGAGGGACTTGGTTTGGGCAGGCGGAAGCAGGAGCGCGATCCGCGGGACGAGGTGACGTCGCGGCCACTCGTGTTGGGCGAGGGGCCGGAGAAGCCGACGAAGAGCAGGCTGCTCGGGCTCTTGTACGAGGCTGTGGTGCAAGTGCAGTTGAGCGACGCGTGCCGCCTTGACGGCAATCGTCCATGGACTTGGCAGCGGTAGGTCGGCGCGAAAGACGCGATCGTTCCGGACTCGCCAGACGTTGAACCAGACGCAGGCGCGGAGCACGGGCCAGAGGTAGCGGAACGCGGCTTGGTGCATGTTGGACGCCCATTCCAAAAAAAACGTTGTGGCGCGGCAGCTTGACAAACAACATGCAGATCGACATGGACCTGTATTAATCTTTTGTCAAGGATCAAGAACCCTTGCGAGAGTGTAGTGCGGTCATTTTGAAATCTGGCACTAGCCGTTCAAATGCCAAAACGCCCCTGGAGCAAAAGAAGATTTCAATGCCTTGTCGAATGCACCTACGGGGCATGTCGTCGTTGAAATTAGGATGAACGTTACAGCGAAGGTGTCCATCATGCAGAGGTAATCAATAAGAACGGGGTTTTTCGCGGATTCTGCCCCTAAAAAGTAGGGCCATGTGTTTGACACGCCTTTGTCAAAACAGAACGTACTGGGGCGGGCAATTCAACAACCATCAAGTGCAATCCGGATAGACAACCGGAAAGAACGTTCCTTCCGTTCCGGATAAAATGCGGTGGCTGCAGAGTCCTTGTCCATCGAAACATGTGGTTCTACTCCAGCACCCAAGGACCTTCTCTCACTTTTCAATTTGCTCCGTCGTGCACACACGACCGCCACCATGGCCTGCACCGGTGGCCATCTCCGAACGGAGCATCAGACAACCAACCACGCACTTGACGTACGCTGACCAACGACTCGACAGTGGCCAAGGATCAACAACTCAAAGGCTGCCGACGACCAACGATCTCGACGGCTGCCGACGACCAACGATCTCGACGGCTGCCGACGACCAACGACTCGACGGTAGCCGACGACCAACGATCGCGGCCGACGACCAACGACTCGACGGTAGCCGACGACCAACGACTCGACGGTGGCCGATGGCCAACGATAGCGACCGCCGCCGACGACCAACAACTCGTCGGTAGCCCGACGACCAACGATCTCGACGGCGGCCGACGACCAACAACTCGTCGGTAGGCGACGACCAACGGACTTGGAGATAGCCGATGGCCGACGACCAACGACTCGACGGTGGCCGACGACCAACGATCTCGACGGCGGCCGACGACCAACGACTCGACGGTGGGCGACGACCAACGACTTGGAGATAGCCGATGGCCGACGACCAACGATCTCGACGGCGGCCGACGACCAACGACCGCGACGACTTGAAGACGACCAACGACTTGAAGACGACCAACGATCAACGATCTCGACGATGGTCGACGACCAACGATCACGACGGTAGTCGACGACCAACGACCGCGACGACTTGAAGACGACCAACGATCAACGATCGCGACGGTAGTCGACGACCAACGACCGCGACGACTTAAAGACGACCAACGATCAACGATCGCGACGGTGGTCGACGACCAACGACCGCGACGACGGTCGACGGCCAACGTTCGCGACGGCGGCAGACGGCCAACGATTGCGACCGGCAAGATTTTGCAGACGAAGCACAACTCGTCGATTAAGTTATTGCATGAACTGGCTTCTTCGCCTTTTGCCGCCTTTGGCGCCCCTCTTTTTAATTTGCTTGTCGTAGCTTTCGACGATCATGTCGTCGTCCATAGAGAGCGCTTGAGGTGGGAGAGGAACAAGCGGGTTGCTGTACAGGGAGATGCATGCTTTGCGGCTGTAGGCGGTGTGATACCACGTGAGTGGCTCGGCACCAATATACATCGCGACGGCGATGGCGTGCATGCACGGCTTCAGGTGGTCTTGCCAGGCACCGCATTGGCAAGTCTATGCCGACTAGCGGTAAAATACAAGAGAACGAACCAGTCGTAAAATACCTTCGCTGTGACGTTGACGAAACGTGCCTTGTCGGGTGTCCTGTGCTTTGAGTGCAGGACGGTGAAGCTGTGGTTCGTGCGAAGGTCCGTGACCTATGAAAATGGGGTTGGACGGTTGATGTACACGTTGGGGGTAGCCATGTACCGTGCATTTGCGAGCTTCAATCGAGAGGGCCTCGAAGGCCTTGGCCTCTTTGTTCGTGAGAATATCTGAGCTCTTCGAGTGCATGTCGAGTCGGTCGTTGAAAGTCTTGTTCAGGCGGTTGAGGTAGAAGCAGAATACCCCGACCGGATCACTGCTGCGCAGATCGGCTCCGAGCCAATTGTTGGAAGACTCGGCGACGTTTGACGTCGTTGCGTCGAAAGTAGGAATGCCCTGTCTAATGAAGGTGTATGTCACCCAGTGTTCCACTGGTATGAAGGTGTATGTCACCCAGTGTTCCACTGGTATGTTGGACATGTAGTCGGCTACGGCTACGAATCGTGGGTAACTGGATGCTAGTGCCAAGTGTGCACAAAACCAGTCCCATGTATCGACGAGTTCGCCTTGGACGAGGGCGAAGGCGATCGGTACGATGTTGCCGTTGCCGTCTTTCGACGTTGCCGAAAGCAATGTGCCGACTTCGTGCATGTCGTCTTTCATGTGGCATGCTACGATGGCGTCAACAAACCGTCGAGTCATAGACATGGTACCGTCGAGGAAAACGATGGGTAGAAGAAACGACTTGGCGTCTTTGCGGAAACAGGCAGGCACGCAGAATGCTCCATGGAAAGACGACCCCGTCTTCGTAAAAGCCGCGTACATCCCTGGGTTGGCTTCGACCAACTTCTCAAGGTAGGACTCGAGTTTGGCGAACTGGTCCTTGATCGTGACTAGTTGGCGCTTCTTCGTGACCTTCTTTACGAGGGTCACACGTGACGACGAGATGGAAATGCCGAACTTGTCACGCACAGCCCGAATGAGCTCTTCGCGAACCAAAGTATGACCAATATCGAGCTCATTAGCGAACTTCACAAGCTAACTCGAGTGTGTTGGTTGACCTGGTACCGTGGATGTTTCGCGTACCATGTCGGTGGAGACCGTCGTGTTTCGAGACCCTGGTGGCATCGGTGTTGAATGCGGCAGGCTGTGGTTATGGTCCAAGCAAACCTACCATGTTTGTCAGCAACGTAAGTAAACATAAAGCACTTAACCAATGTCACGCTGATGCCTTTCTTGCCCACGTTAGCTTGGACGAGGAACTGGCACTTGTCGCTTCGACACCTGATTTTGCGCATGGAAGACTGGTGCTCCTTCGAGACTTGAAAAAGATTGAGAGCGGCAAGTAGTTGCACGCGGTCCTTGAGATCATCGTACGTTTCAAACTTGGTCTTCGTCGGCTTGATAGATCGGTCATCGTCCAGACAAATGATGCCCAACGATGCAGCAAGGTCGACATAGCCGTCGGGGCAATGGACCACGGGCACGTTGGGATCGACAACGATATATTCGTCTCGACCGAGATCTTCGTTTGCGTCGCTGTCTGCGTCGACGTCTAATCCGATTTGGATCATCGGTGTGCAAGACGTCGTATCAACAGAGCCGTCGTCGCGATCCCTGCAATGCCCTTGAGCTGCCTGAGCGGCCCGAGAAGCCCAATCGTGCTGAGTGACTTGGGCAGCCCCCAAAATATTGGTACGCATAGCCCCAATACGTCGCACAGGGTCTGTGAAGCTATGGGAGAGGTCAACCTCGAAAAAGTACAGCATGCATCCTTACACGTCAACACCATTGTCTTGAACACGTTGCGAGTATCTCGGCTCATTTCTTGGGGCACCCATGACGACAAATGTCTCCGGCGAGGGGCTTGAGTGAAGGGGCCGCCGCGCCGAGTACCGCGGCGGCTGCGAAACGTGCTGTAGTGGCGCGTGCTGTGGTGGCGCGTACTGTGTGGTCGTGTACTGTGTTGGCCAGTACTGCTGTGGTGGGTACTGCTGTACAGCGTATTGTTGCGATGGGTACTGCTGCACCGCGTACTGTTGTGGCGGGTACTGCGCTGCCTGGTACTGTTGTGGTGGGTACAGCGATGGCGCATGCCGCGATGGCTCGTACTGCTCGGTTGATTCTTGTACATTGTACGAGTACGACGAAGCTGTGCTAACGTACTGGTAGGAGTACTCAACGCTGTGACGTGGCGAGGACTGGTAAGGGTGCCGAATCTGGGCAGCCAGGGCGCCATGACTGAGACGCGTTGTGGCATGATAACTTGCACACGGGTCCCTTCTAAATGTTTCAATGTGCATCGCTCCGATGTTGCACGTACGTGTTGAAGTAGACAGTGCCGGCATGCTCAACACCAACGTACCCACTGGCGGTCTGTGTAATCGGCGACGGAGCAACGACGCGAGGACTGGAATCGTAGTTAGCGTACTGGTGGTTCATTTCCGTCTCTTGGCTGTACGCGAGCAGTACGATAGTGAATTCAATCCGTTGCACAAACGCCCTTCTCCAGCACCAAAAATACACAGTCCGAACTATTTTTAGCGAAACCCGAAAAGCCATTAGCGCTGGCACCATCTACTGCTAGTACCCGGTACATCGTATTAGTGTCCACCGAGAAGCCGAAGGCTACCGAGTCGTAGGTCGCTGTCGAATCTGCGGTTACCACCGTCAGGTAGTTGGTCATTGGCCGCCGCCGCAGTCGCGATCGTTGGTCGCCTTCAAATCGTTGGTCGTCGACCGTCGTCGCGGTCGTTGGTCATCGGCCGCGGTCGAGATCGTTGGCCTTCGGCTACTGTCGAGATCGTTGGCCTTCGGCTACTGTCGAGATCGTTGGTCTTCGGCTACTGTCGAGTCGTTGGTCGTTAGCCGCGGTCGCGATCGTTGGTTGTCGTCGCGGTCGTTGGTCGTCGACCACCGTCGCGATCGTTGGTCGTCTTCAAGTCGTCGCGGTCGTTGGTCGTCGACCATCGGCTATCTCCAAGTCGTTGGTCGTCGCCCACCGTCGAGTCGTTGGTCGTCGGCCGCCGTCGAGATCGTTAGTCGTCGGCCATCGTCGAGATCGTTGGTCATCGACCGCCGTCGAGTCGTTGGTCGTCGGCGGCGGTCGCTATCGTT